CACTTGGTTATGTTGTTCATTTTGTCCAGCAGAGCTGTGTAATCAGTTTGTATGGTTATGTCGTTCACTTTGTATGGTTATGGTTATGTTCAACCTGTCCCAGCATCTATCCATTACAGGGTGTAATGAAAACAGGGAATAAGTGTATTTGTAGACACCCCTATGGTTATGTAATGGCACTTGGTTATGTTGTTCATTTTGTCCAGCAGAGCTGTGTAATCAGTTTGTATGGTTATGTTGTTCACTTTGTATGGTTATGGTTATGTTCAACCTGTCCCAGCATCTATCCATTACAGGGTGTAATGAAAACAGGGAATAAGTGTATTCTGTCCATTACAGGGTGTAATCAAAACAGGAAATAAAATCAAACCTGTCCATTACAGGGTGTAATCAAAACAGGAAATAAGTTTAACCTGTCCATTATAGGGTGTAATCAAAATAGCAAATAAGTGTAATCTATCCATTACGTTAAAAATACATAAAAAAGATGTCCATCAAAAATATCCAAATCCCACCAAACATTAAAAATACATAAAAAAAAATGTCTATAAAAAATTTCCAAATCCCACCAAACATTACAAATACATAAAAAAGATATCCATAAAAATTATACAAATCCCACAAAACATTACAAATACATAAAAAAAAATTGTCCATCAAAAATATTCAAATCCCACCGAACATAAAAAAAATACACCCAAATCCACAAATATAATAAGATCATCGTTTGGTGCAAGCCTTCCAGGGATGTCTATCCACATGACTGTCAGCAAGACTATGTGAGGCTTGTGACAGTTGGACTGCAGTAGTATCTCGAAGCAATTTCTGAAACGATGTCGGAGTGGGATACACGAAAGGCATTGAATCAGGCAGCATTGACTGAGGCGTGTTATTTCCCTGCAATAATGATACATACCCTAGGTACGCCCTACAACAAATAATAGGCGAAAAAAAAGGCACCACAAAACTACCACTGGGACATCTTACAACATAAAACCATACTCGCATAAGCGAAAAAAAAAAAACAGAACCCCACTTTGCCCATATATCTTTTTTGTCCCCAAGTAACCCCTACCATCAGAGATAATAGATGAAAACTTGGGTTGGATATATGAGCAAATAAACAAAAACACACCACGGACTCATAAAACATAACAGACAAACACACAATAAAAATGCAACTAACTAAACACCCAACAAGACCAATCGAAAATAATAACTGCCCCTGCTTGCTCCCAGTCTCTACCTTGGATGAAATCATGGAATCCAATAAGCATCTCGCTTCTCATAGCCGTGACATCCTAGCCACTTAACCAAAGTTATGACGAAGGAAAATATCTATCCCATGAAAGATCCTGGCTGAGTCACATGAAGCCTGCATAGTCAATCACCATAATCAACAAACTTGAGAAGTTTAGTGAAAAAATCAATAGCCCCGCTGCAACAAACCAATACATAGCCAACAAAACATGAGAGCAATCATCACATCCCCCAGTCCCTTCCTTGGTAGATCACAAGCCTCAAACCCCACGAAGGTGTCCCCTTCACTCCATGTCAGGCGTGGCAATACAATCAATTAGGATGGGTCACATGAAGACAAGAAGCAACCAGAAAACCGGTAGCTATCCTCCCGCTCATCTCCCAGTCTCTAGCTCGGCTAGTTATCGAACCACTATCCCTCAAAGCAGTGACTCCCCAATCACTCTTGGTGGAGATGGCTCAAAACCACCCTCATATCGAGTCACATGAGGATCACACGATCAATCATCATGAAATAACCGACTACAAAAGGTCCGCTGCATTGTGGCTAATCAAAAATCTATGGGCTCGCCAATAAAATTGAGACCCAACACAAAATAAAAATCAATATACTATGAGCCCAAGAATTAGTCCATAAACTGTGGATTGTAGACCCATTTAATAATATAACCATGAAGTCCAAATGGACCCCACCAATATCTTCATAAAACCCAATTTGCCGTGGGCCCAAAATTTGCCCACTGCCACATTCCACTTCACGCCTCCAAACTCGGCATAAAATTACCAAGTGGGCACCAGCTGCTCAGGCCTTTAAACTCCCACCAAAAACCGTAGCCAACAAAACAAATCAAATATCCAAAGAAAAAGGTCCAATGTGGTCCCACTACTCCATCAAAACCAATTTAAAAATATCTACCGTGGGCACACCCACTCTAACTCAAAACCACGGCCGAAAGAACTCGGCACACCAAATATATATAAAATATATATATATTAAAGCCAATAAACAAAGCAATCACGTGGATGACCCAAATAGAAGTTACCTCCAAAATGCGAGTTCGGATCTTCGACTGCTCTTTCCTGCAGCACTCCCAGTAGCACTACAAAATGACGTCGTTTTGTATATATATATATATATATATTTTCCTTTCTTTGCTTCTTATTCAGCTTTCCCCTTTCCTTTTTTGAACCCTAGACACAGAGGCGATGATACAGGACGAAGGAGATGAGACGATCTGGACGATCTGGAAGAGTGAGGCGACGATACAGGACGAAGGAAAGGAGACGATCTGGACGATTTTTTTTGCCTATACTCTTTTTGGTTGATGAACATAGATTCTGACAATGGTTGATGAACATATGTTCAGAATCTTTAACATTGTTGATGAGCATAAAAATATAATTTAATGTGTTCAGAATGTTTAACAGTTGAACTATGAACATAGATTCCATTCTTAAATATGAACATATTTCAGAACCTATTCTTAAATATGTTAACTTGACAATGTTAACTTGACTTCTGTGTTGAACATAGATTCCATTCTTAATTTAAGCTATGAACACATTCTTAATTTAACAATGTTAACTTGACTTCTATGAAATGTGCAAAATATGTTCAAAAGTTGGAATCTATGTTTAACAGTTGAACAACGTGAACTTGACTTCTATGAAATTTGCATAATTTAACAATGTTAACTTGACTTCTTGTTTGAACATAGATTCCATTCTTAAATATGTTCAAATAAAACAGAATTTGAAAAATAGGTTTGATTACACAGGGTGAACATAGAACATATTTCATAGAATAAGAATATTTGTAATCAAATATTCCATTCTTAAATGTGTTCAAATAAAACAGAATTCCATGCTCATAATTCTTAACATATATTAAGAACAGGATTACAAATATTTTTATTAGAAAAGGGTGAACAAATTCTTATTTCTCAGAACATATTTCAGTTGAACATAGATTACAAATATTCTTATTTCCTGTTTTGATTACACCCTGTTCAAATATTTGATTCTGTTTTGAACATTTGACTTATGTCATTGAATCTTAAATTTGAGAATGATTTGTAGAACATATTTGATTCTGACAATGATCTTGAATTTGAATTTGAGAATGATATTGAATTTTAAAAATGGAAAAAGTATATCAAAATGGGTTAACTGAATTTTGGATTTCAAATGAAGGGATTTGAAGTTGAAACTTTATAGAAAATGGTATGAGAGTTAGCTATTATTAGATGGAATCAGAAACTAATGAGGAAGTCCATGATGTTTATAATTGTAATAATGCAGATTAAAGGAAAGTGATTTTATTATATTTTTTTGTATTGTCTATCATAACCCATCATGGTAAATCTCTCAAATTTTATGTTGAAGTCCGTATCTAAACTATCATTTCTAAATTTGAGCTATTCTCATTGAACAATTAGTGCCCAAATTATTCTTTGTTATATGCGAATGGACCAATGTGCCAAAAATGGGGTTAGTAGAATAGAAAATCTTAATCACAACAAATTTCTTTCTATTGTGATGCTTATGAGCTTCAAGGATTATTTTCCTTGAATTACATAAGGTTCTGGTGCTTCATTTGCTGCAGAGACATCATGCTTATGAGCTTCATTTGCTGCAGAGGGATCATCCACTTGAACTCTACCATCCATGTTTTATTTTATTTTATTTTCTTCTTCTTTATCTGTTTTTGGGAAAATCCATTTGGTAGTGATGGCTTATTAAAGTACAAAACTTGAATTATAGCTGTATGTAGGAATGATATGATTGAAGTTGAATGTGTATATAACTTTACCTATGAATTGTGTGCATAATTTTGCAGATGTCAAGTTCAACTGTTAACGGAGGTACCTCAGATCAATTGACGTTCTGCAATAGAAATTGCCCTAAATGTCATAAGAAAGCAAATATTCAAATTTCAGAGACGGAACAAAACAGAAACAAATTATTTTATTGTTGTAAAAATTGCTGCGATTTTATGGGATGGTGCTTGCCTACAAATTCACAAGCTAGAGGTGAAGGAGTAGTGTAAGTGGAAAATATGTCAACTGTCACCAAACAACAACTTCGACTTATGAACGAACAACTTCGATTTCAAAGCGAAGAACTTCAATTTATGAGGGCGAAGATGCTTAAGTTGGAAACAGACATAAATCAAAATTCGAGTCGTATTTATGGGTTGTGTATCTTGCTTGTAATTGGCGACTCTGTATCTGGCAAAGCAGTCCATGTTTGGCACTACTTTTTCAAAAATCTGTTTCTCAAAACGATTTGCCAGATTTGGACTCTTTGGTTCAGATTAAGAACCGTGACACAAATCGAGTCCGAACTGTAGCATCGAGGCCCCCCACACGGGCGCTGTTACAGTATTCTGTCCATTACAGGGTGTAATTAAAACAGGAAATAAAATCAAACCTGTCCATTACAGGGTGTAATCAAAATAGCAAATAAGTGTAATCTGTCCATTACGTTAAAAATACATAAAAAAGATGTCCATCAAAAATATCCAAATCCCACCAAACATTAAAAATACATAAAAAAAATGTCCATAAAAAATATCCAAATCCCACCAAACATTACAAATACATAAAAAAGATATCCATAAAAATTATACAAATCCCACAAAACATTACAAATACATAAAAAAAAAAACTGTCCATCAAAAATATCCAAATCCCACCGAACATAAAAAAAATACACCCAAATCCACAAATATAATAAGATCATCGTTTGGTGCAAGCCTTCCAGGGATGTCCATCCACATGACTGTCAGCAGGACTATGTGAGGCTTGTAACAGTTGGATTGCAGTAGTATCTCGAAGCAATTTCTGAAACGATGTTGGAGTGGGATACACTAAAGGCATTGAATCAGGCGGCATTGACTGAGGCGTGTTATTTCCCTGCAATAATGATACATGTATTAAAATATTTTTAGAATTTATACTACATTTTCAATGTAAAGTATGTAAGCAATTACAACTCACATCATATGTAGGATACATGACATGATGAACACTTGTACGACCCATGGCAAATGAAGGTTGAGATTGGGATTCAAGTCGAGATTGGGATTGAGGTTGAGAAATATAGATTGCACGACCATGACCCTAAAGTAAACCAACATAAAAAAAGAAGAAGTGAAATGAAAAATAGTAATAATGCATTTTCATTTTACAAAACATACAATATGAAATGTTACCTCAACATAATTAGTATGACCCATGGCAAAAGAAGGTTGAGATTGGGATTCAGGTCGAGATTGGGAAATATAGATTGCACGACCATGACCCTAAAGTAAACCAACATAAATAAAAGAAGAAGTGAAATGAAAAAAAAAATAATAATGCATTTTCATTTTAAAAAACATACAATATGAAATATTACCTCAACATAATTACTACGACCCATGGCAAAAGGAGGTCAACATTGACCTTGTGGAGTGTAAACACCCCAAAGTAAACCAACATAAAGCAAAGAATAAGACAATGTATGGCAAAAAAAGTTCATAATGCATTTTCATGTTAAAAAACAAACAATATTTTATATTACCTCAACATAATTACTACCCATGGCAAAAGGAGGTCGAGATTGACCTTGTGGAGTGTAAACACCCTAAAGTAAACCAACATAAAGCAAAGAATAAGACAATGTGAAAAAAAAAGTTAATAATGCACGATATGTTGGTTTCGTATGAGGTTCAATTTCGCTAACGTCTATGCATGTCAAAGGTAAACACCCTAAATTAAATATTTCCTGAATTGAATGATTACCCATGTCGGAAGAAGGTTGAGATTGACCTTGATAAGTAGAAAAAGAACCATCCTACATGCATCACAAAAGACCAAAAATAATAAAAATAACGCTACTAGTTGCAAGAATAATGTTGACACACTATGCCCTTCACTTCAAACTTCTTGTATTGTGCAGGAAGGTCCTTTGCATTGATTATCTCTCTAAGCACCTTTAAACAATGTTGACACACTATGCCCTTCACTTCAAACTTTTTGCAACTACAACTCAAAAAACCATCTCTATCCATTGTCACATTCTTATCCTTTTTTTCATCTACATCTGTTTGAATTGTGAATATGGTACTCTCACTATCATGAATAGTGCCTACAATGGACGCTTCAATGGACTGCACGTACTCATTTTGGAATTCCTCAAAAATTGTTTTGGTGTAAATATTTTCCATTTGCTTTAACATCATAGTTGGAATGGAAACCCTTGGCAATTTTTGACACAAATTATACTCGGCTTCCAATTTTTTATACCTCTTGCCATAGAGCACCCTCTCAAAATGCTTGAAAAATTCCATCAAGTTATGATCACAATTGAGATAATCCTTCAAAAATGCATTGAATGATTCACTTAGTTGAGTAGTACTCATTCCAGCTGCCCAAGAATTCATAATATATGGCCATCCCCATTTCTCCTTCACACCAAAAGTTTGCGCCAACCAATGATTGTTGTGTGTATCATACCTATCAAGCATTTGGTCCCATTGTATTTTGAATTCTTCTTCATCATCAATTTGATGCATAAATTTTGAAAAGACACTCTTTACCCCAACATCTTGAAAGAGGGAACTCACATGCTTCACAGCATTTTGCATCAAATGCCATGTACAAAGTCTGTGGTTTGTACTAGGCATGACAATTGGAATGGCCTTAGCCATCGCAGCATCTTGATCGGTGAAAATAGTTTTTGGAGCTTTGTTTGACATTGCCTCCAAAAAAATCTGAAATAACCATGTGAATGATTCGGCAGTCTCATCATACATCAACGTTGCACCGAATACAACAGTTTCTCGATGATGATTAAATCCAACAAAGGTTCCAAAAGGTCTATGTTCATTATTTAATTTGTAAGTAGTGTCAAAGGTCACTACATCACCAAATTGAGCATAGTCCATTATCATTTGTGCATCCGCCCAAAATATGTTACTTATTTGCTCTTCACAATCTAATTGGACTGCATAATAAAAGGATGGATTTTCTAAACTTTTCTTACGAAAGTATTGCAACACACTACCCGCTTCTCCATATTCAAATCTTTTTGTCTCTTCGATCTCAAGTAATTTTTTTGGTCCAATTTAGTGAAGCCAAGTGATGCTCTTCCACTAGATTCCCTATCAAATAGCTCATAAGCAGACCTAAGAGGAATTCCAGATTCTGAAGCCAATTCTACTTTAATTGCTTGGGTGGTAGATATTTTTCTTTGGGATGGCAACATATGAATGCACTCTTGAGGCACAAGATCATGATTATGATGTTCAACAAAATCAATGGCAACATATTTTCCTAAATTTCTATCTAACTTGATACTAAATCGAGCACCACAACCACACCTCACCTCTTGTCTCGAAAATTTTACTAGTGGATCTTGCTTGTCAATACCCCAAGTTCCCTCTTTGTAACATACAAAAGTCCGTGAAGTTATTTCCTTAGTATGTTTGTTCTTGTGTGCATATAGCTTCTTAATACTAAAGCCCACCTTTCCGTCATAGGTATTGTAAAAATCATATGCAGCTTGTTCAGAGTCAAATGACATGCCCAATTTCGGCTTCCAACCACAATTAGCCAACTCATTAACAACATTATTTTCTTCGATTACCTGCAATTCGATTTATAGGTTCAATGAATCAATTTATATTACTTCGATCTATAACTTGGATTTTTTTGGACAAGTATGCCAGTTTTTTGGATAGGTATGCCAGTGTTTAGATTTTTCATTTTTTTTAATGATCATAAGTTCAAATCAAAGTTAAAAAATTACAAGTTTCTGCATCCTTTCAAATGAATGGACAACTTGAATCTAAAGGAAGACAATAAAATGTTTTGAGCATAATGCACTAGGGAATTGACTGCTTACATGTGCTGTCAAACTTCTTTTCTTTTTTTTTTCAGTAGTTACAATACCTACCTATCATTCATCATATAGACATTAATAAATTTGATGTGCTAGATATACTTACAGTTCATCTACTCATGTCACTTGTACTAGTTTTCAAGCTAAAGATGGGGAAAAATAAAAGATAATAACAAAAGAATAAGGCTCAGCAATTATACTTTTTTATCTTATTCAGCATTGACTTAATTTCTTTATACAAGGAGATCAGCAGTTTGAGGCATTAGGCAGCTATTAGCAAATTTAGGTAGGTGATACACAATTTTTTTAATAAAAGAATTAGCAAGACCATATTTTTTAAACCATTTTCAAAGAAGATTCAGACTCCATGCAGCTTCCACTAGTCAACAGAGGAATGCAAACACAGATTACAGCATAGATCACAAACACAGAGACTGAAATAGATAAAAAATATATCTAAATCCTTAACAAACTCATCTAAATTATAAATAAAAATTATATCTAAATTATATCTAAAAATTAGTAATTTCTGAATTAACAAAATCCTTAATTATATATAAATCCTTACTTACATATAAAAATTAATATAGAGAAATGTATAGAGAAAAATTAATATATACAAATTAATTATAACACTGGTATATTTGTAATGTCTGCAAATACATAGAGACTGAAATAGAGAAATAGACTGAAATATTTCTAATGTCTGCAAATACATGTATACATTGATTATCCAAACAAAATGTAAATATAGAGACTGAAATATACATATATACATAACACAGAGACTGAAATATACATATATACATAACACAGAGACTGAAATATACTTCGTCACAGCCGGACTCGCGTCCCTCCGCCAACCTCTCTCTTTTACCATCGCCTCCGTCCACCATCGTTCTCCGTCTTTGCAGATGGCGCAGAGCCCCTCTCCGTTCTCCAACACCTCTCTTCTCTCACACTCTCTATCCAGCTGTGTGGTTAGGGCAAAACAGAGGAGAGAGGGACGAAGATGAAGTCAAAATGAGGGTTCAAAGTTCAGGTGGGAAATTCGAATTTTGGGAACAAAAAAAATTTTTAAAAAAAACCAACTAAATAAAACGACGTCGTTTTTGCACTACAAAACGACGTCGTTTTGTAGTGCTGCTGGGAGTGCTGCAGGAAAGAGCGGCCGAAGATCTGAACTCCCAAAATGCAGCCATACATCAGCTAAGTTATATATATAGGGTTGTTTTGGGAAGTTGGTGAAAAGCTGGCTTTTGGCTTTTTATCAAGCTTTTTGATTTTTTTGGAAGTGATTTGGGAAGTTAGTAAAAAATTGACTTTTTGCTTTTTTGTTTAATATAGTGTCAAATCAAATTAAAATGACCAAAATATCCTTACCTAACATAAGAGATTTATTTTTTTTTATTTTTTTTTCATAGATCCTAATTTATAATTTTAGAGTTGCGTTTTTTATACTTCCTAAATGAATTTTATTGCGTTTTTGATAGCCACATTTTTAAATATTTTATCTAAAAACGTAACTTTTTACTAAACTCAACTTTTTGAAGACCACTTCAGAATTCCAAACCAAATGACCAACCACACAAATCCACCACGTGCTATCCCTATGTTGAGCAGGCTGCCCAACCCACGTGACTACCCCATGCTAGTGACATCGACTCTGCAGAGCCTCAACAACTGAACGCACGCCCACTCTGACCGTGAGGCACACACGCGAGGTCCGAGAGAACACCCAAACGCATATAAGGCGCGTGGTTAGCACTTCATCGTCTTCCCTGGAGCATGCCGAACAGGACAACTCGAGCCAATGAACGAGCATCCGAAAACCCATACTCCACCAGCACCATAACGGAGCAACCCAATACACCACTAGCACCGTAACGGACCTACCTACTGCAAACCACCGAACAGATTTACACCGCACAGCAAAGCCGAGCGAACTGAACACTAACCTTCATGAGTCCAAGCTTAGACCAACGACAACCAGATCTGGCCATTCCTACGAGTGACCGCGATCCATCAAAACAGTTCAGGCTACGGGAACATTTTGATTCCATTGATAACCTTCACTGTAGTATGCCAAGTTCACATATATTTCAGAAATAATTTGATTCTATTGATAATATAATAATTTATTAAAACAGTTTAGTAATAAAATAACAATTTAATTTTTCAACAGTTCAGGATAGAGAAACATTTATAAAAATATGTAGAATGAAACTACTCACCTAAAAACGAAATAATGTAATCCTCGAATAGAGTATAAAAGTTCAACTAGTGTCCTAAACCAAGTATGAAAACTACACGTCGCTACTAATTTAAAAATACTAAAGAATAGGAGCTAAACAACCTCAACTAATGCGCACTAACATGGCTCAACCCAACTCACTGTTATTCTTAAATATTACCTAAATTCATGTTCTTCAAGGTCTAAAATCATCCAAGACATGGGTTCGGTCGAAACTTAATTAAATGTGACTTTGAGATAAAATAGAATTTTTGATAAGTTTTCCCGAACTGTTCACTAACTCTGAAAATTAAAAACCCACTCTACACCATTCAAAAAATTCCAAAACCCTCTAGATATCAACTAATATATCCTAAGTTTCAAACCCAATTGGTTTTACTTGATTTGCTTATCAAAACAATTATTTACAATTAATTATGTCCAAACAGATTGTTTTCTGCAGCACTTTAAAGAAATTAATAGTTCTCTTAGTATACATAAGAAATCAACGCAAGGCAAAAAATTTACAAAACAAGACTCGTAACCGGTTCTAATGACGCTGATTTGATAATTTTTTGATTTATACCCAAAGAGAACAACACTCCCGAATTTACCGTTTAAATCAATTTTCTGGACAGATTTGAACGCATAAGTTTATATGGATTTTGACTCCCAAAAATTATGAAAAAATTCAGATATGAAATTCAATATGTAATTGATCTACTGTAAAAATTTCAGTTTAAAATTCATTCGTTTGATATTGTTTCTTGATTTTTAAAGTTTGTGATTATGTGCAGAATTTTTGAACTAAGAATTACACTCATTCTTTATACATGAATTTAACTCCTCAGATTTCTTAACAGTATATATATATATATACAAAATATATAAACCTATAACCTCTTCATCAATGAACTAAATAATAATAGAGCAAGGATAAAGAACAAAAACAAAGAAAAGAAGAAAGATAGAGACCTACCACACATCCAACCTTTTTTTTCTTCTTTTTCTCTCAATCTCTCTTTCCCCGTGGCTGTTGTTATATATTGTATTAGGCAACTTAGGATTACTTTATATATCTAAACAAAAAGGCTCTAAATTATTATCTCTTTATATTATTTTATTTTCTAACCAATTAATTTAAATAAAATATAACAAAATATACTTACTAACTTACCCTCTTTTTTTTTTTTAAATAATAAATCTTGCCTCTAAATTGAATACTTTCACCATAAATTTATTTTGAGTTTAAAATTAATTAAAAGATCATTTAATAATAATTAATTTGCACTTTAGGATTCACCATCAAAATATTTGAGATTGTGAAATTATTATTATTTAATTATTTAATTGATTTGTATATTCGGGTTCTCACAATTTCTAGGTATGAAGAAAATCTTCTTCATATAGAATATCCTAAGGAGTAGGTCGGGAATAATAACACCTACTATGTCCTGTTAGAGCCATTCTGGAGGTTTGTTGGGGAAAATTGGTTTTGTTAACAAACTGAATATCTTGGAAGTTATTTTGTATTTCTAAGATTTGTGATGGGGAAAGATCATCTTCCTCATCAT